TGCATTGGTTATATTTTCTGTATAAGCAAGCTGGGATTTTTATCTATACTGGTACTTATGTATAGACAAGAATTAGTTTCCATGGTGACATGAAATCCATTTAAATTTTAATTAACAATCTTTTGTGTTTATTTCTGGCATTGATCTAGGCTACTTTCCTCAGACAACATAGTGAAATATTCATATTAATTTCCTATATTGAAGTTGATAAGAATGCTTTTCCTACTTTGAATATCTTCATATTAGAATTCTGCTTGTTCCGCCCTTAACATGTAAGTTATTCCTTGCCAATACCTCATAAATAATAAACTATTCTGTTTTGAATCTGTGAAAAGATGGAAAGGACACATCAGACACGCTACTTGGTTTCAGTGAGAAAATGAAAGAAAGATAGAAGAGAAGTCAGAAGAGGCTATAACACAGTATGTTCAATGTCTGTTTTAGTGAAATGGAAAAGTTATCAACTTCAAATCTTTTCATTTGTATCCCCTTACTTCTTTAAATAACGATCAGCATTCATATTTATGACTGTTATTGCAATATTTTGTTAAAGTTGTTAAGCTCAAATATTTAAAGATGCGATACGGGAATTTCTAAGGATATGTTATTATTGTAGATCTTGTCATGAGCATATTCAATCATTAATTTTTTTTTAATCATTTCCCTCCAAGCAAAGGCAATAAAAGCACTAAGACACAAGGAGTTACTGAGTGTTAGAGAATATGAGAAAAATTTTAAAAGAAAAACACAATTAACGAGAGATGAATAAAGGAACAAGAATTAAGACAGACGGTAACTGACTGACAGGGCATTTAAATTTTTGAAGAGGTTTTAAAGAATTTAAGATTCATCAGAAAATTCCAATAAAGAAACCAATAAATTTTCATGGATATTTCTAGTATAAAGAATTCTGGGTAAAAGACATATTCCAATCAAATGATTTTTACTTTTATTCTGTCAATGGTTTTGTATGAATGAATTTATGCAAAGTACTGATTGTGTGTCCTTTTCCATTTATGTGTGTTGGGGAACATTGTATTTTAATTTATTGCTTAAATGTTATTTTTAATGGATACCCATATTTGAGTAGTACTCTGTTTTTGTTTATTTATCAAATACAGGCATCCATTAAAAGCAACATTTAAGCAATAAATTAAAATATGTCAGATTAATAATTAAGAACATGATATATAAATTTCTATATATCAGGACAATTTTAGGCAATTGAATGACAAAGTTGAAAAATTCTGTGTAACATGTTTTGTTCTCTGGTAGGAATTAAACAGTCTAAAGAAATGATTTTATTGGTGGAATTATGTGCGTAGGAGAGAGAAGGGGAAATGTGAACTCAAGTACTGGTCATGATTATGTACCAAAGTGAAAGACTAAAGATGTGGAAATGCTTATTTTAAATTATTAATTTTTTGAGTTTTATTTTTTTTTTAAATTTAATTTTTTTTTTTTTTTTTTTTAAATCAGCCATGTCTGGACACATAGCTGAGCCAATCTTGTTTAGCTTCCTTATTCTTTTGTTTGTGTTTTTATCATTGTTGTTTTAAAGTAGCCTACATTTGTGACACAAATTTATGTAAGTGTCAAACAGGATCATCCAACAGTTGTCAAAGACATTTTAAAAAAGATTTTTAAAAAAAAGGAAAATTTGAAAAATCTTTTTCTCAAACAAGATTTCCATTTATTGATTTTTATAATTACTAGTGCCAAAAAGTTCTCAGCCTGACTGAGCATCTTCAAATGAGAAATCAGATAGCAGAGTTCGAATTCCTGTTATGTTTGTGACATTCACTTACAGGTAAATATCCTTGGAAAACATATGAATCCACTTCTTCTCCTCCTGACTATGAGTTAGATAGTAGTGCAGTGTGCTCTTCAGCCTTGGTTGACAACCAGTTTAGGTGAAGGACAATTCTGAATTAAAAAACCATATGATGCAGCACATACTATACAGTCAATGAAAGGATTGTGGAGTTCCCAGTCACTACATTATTGTCTGCAGTCAGCTTACATTTTTTATACATTCCTTTCTTGGTCAGTCAAGAACTTTTTAACATCTTCACATATCAGAAGGCTCTCAAAGAGAAATTCTTATTGTTAAGATTCACTTTGAAAAATAAAAGGAAAAATATTCATAAGAGTGATGTTCAATAGAGAACAGCAAGTTGACTCTACAATGGAATAAAACGTTACATATACATGATGGCTGTCAACTTATTAATCGAGTATGACCATAGCTGACAAGTTAGATCAATGTTTTTGGTTCTCTTTAAAAAAGCAATGTCTCCTGAAGCCAGAAAGTGACTTTTCAATGCTTATTACAGGTGTGGCAAACTAAGTTGTTTTGTATAGGGCCTGGCCTATTTTGTAAAGTCTGTTCAGCTTGCTCATTGGTTTTCAAGTGCCAGATAAAACTGGAATAATTTCTATAGGTTTTCTGACATACTCTATGTGTTATTAAAATAAGCACATCCCATCTCCCCTCTCACTTGTAACCATCCGTTAGAATAAAATAAACATTTTCCAGTGCTAAATTTTAATTAGTCAAATAAAGTTTCATAAGCTTCTATTTAGCGTAGTAGCTATATTACATGTTAAGTTATTTCCATCATAGTATTAACCGTAACTGCTGAATGGTTTATCACTAGGACTCTTCTTATGGCTAATAAGGCCTGCATTGGAGAGACATATTCTGCTACATTCATCACATGTACATTGTTAGAGTGATAGATTAATGATTGCCTCTTCCCTAGCTGCACACATGACATTTGCCCAACTCATTGCAAATTCTTGGAAAATCTTAGTGCATTGTATGCCTCCATTTATTTTGATCACAAGCAGCAGTTTCCCTGCACGAGATCTTTTGTATCTATTTTTTTAATCAGTATAACCACATGCAAGGCAGTAAAGCCACTAAGACACAAGGGGGTTACACAAATGGAAGAATTAGGAACAGGAACATTAATAATGAGTGGGAAGAGAAAAGATTAATCAGGAGAACAATAGATAGTGATTGACATTGCATTTAAATTTTTGCAGATTAAAGTTTGCTGGAAAACATGGAGCCAGAAGGAAGTTCAACAAGCAAGAAGTGCAAGAAAAGAAACTGTTAACATAGAATTTATGTTTACATATAACCAGCTCAACTGTAAATTGATGAGATCTTACACCAGTCTAGTACTGCGCTTAAATTCAAGCAGTCTGGGTGCCATAGTAAAAAGCTCATCCAAACTATTACAATGAAAGTATTTATGGAAAAGATTTAGAGAGGCAACCTTACAGCAGTAAGCAAGTGACTGAAACCAAGATGTCAGGTGAGGACCAATAATATTGCTGATTCTTCTTTGGATTTTATCAAGGAGCTCAATGTAAATAGCAGAGACACCAGACCATATGTGGCAGTAATATTCAAAGCCTGGATGAATGGTAGACTTGTAGATATGTAAAATAAATTCAGAAGAGAAAAATTGTCTCACACAATACAGTGAACCAACTTACTTAGCAGCTGACCTAGCAATGGATTCAATATGGTCTTTCCACTTTATGTTAGCTGAATACATGTGTGTATATATAAGATCCTACATGGAGAAATTGAAGAAAAATGTGCCTCCCAACAGGAATCGAACCCATATCCCCTTTGACACATATTTTTTTTAGCATGACTTTGTGATCTAGGCAAGCTGATATTGATTTCATAGTTTAAGAAAATAAAACATGTGGATGTCAACTCAAGCATAGGTACTCACTAAAAATCTCTTTGCAGAAAAACATTTTAAAAATCAGAACAGATTCTACACTATCATCATAGGCATTCATGCCAAAAAAAAAGAAAAGGATAGAAGATTCTGTATATAGAAACCAATAAAATCTGTTTGTCAAAAAAGAAAAAAATTGGAATACTGTAGAGTGAATAAAATTAACAGAAATGAATAAAATGAAACAAAATAAGACAAAAGTTAATTTAAAAAGTGAAAAACTAAACTAAATGTGAAATCCAATTATTCTGTCATTCAAGTCAAATATCTTCTTTTAGATGAGATGAAAAATGAGACATGAAATTTTAATCTACCTATCAAAGGGAGGGAGTGAAAAAGAAGGAGTTATCAAAGATAAATAAAAGATGAAATTGAAGAGGAATAGAGTAGAAGAAAGGCAGAGAAAAAGAGAAATGAGAAAACGATAAAAAAGAAGAAACGGAACAAATCTAGAAAATTATCTTTAAAATAGGAAAAAAAAAAGAAAGATTAATAAAGAAGTGCTGAAAGAGAGATTCAGATGAAAGGTCAAGTTCTTGAAATAAGAAAGAAAGTAGGGAAATAGAGGAGAAAAGAGATAAATGGAACAATTCTGATTTCTCTCTAAGTTTGTAAAATATTAAAATTTATAATGTAAAACAAATGCAAGTAGGAGTAGGAGGTAAAGAAAATGTGTAAAAAAAGCTAGATGAAAAGCAAAGAGTGAAAGAAAGACAGGAGATATAGAAATTTGAAGGTTAAGAGAAAAAAAGTGAAAGAAAGAAAGAGGAGAGATGGTTAAGAGAGAGAGAGAGAGAGACAAAGAAAGAGATCAAAATTTAAAGGTTAGGTGAGGGAAAGAGGAGAGAGAGAGAAAAAAGTTGAATGTAGGGGAGAGTGAGAGAGAGAAAAAAAAGGAAAGAAAGTTGAAGGTGAGGAGAGAGAGTGAAAGAGGAGAGAGGGACAAAGTTGAAGGTGAGGAGAGAGGGACAAAGTTGAAGGTGAGGAGAGAGGGACAAAGTTGAAGGTGAGGAGAGAGGGACAAAGTTGAAGGTGAGGAGAGAGGGACAAAGTTGAAGGTGAGGAGAGAGGGACAAAGTTGAAGGTGAGGAGAGAGGGACAAAGTTGAAGGTGAGGAGAGAGGGACAAAGTTGTAGGTTAGGAGAGAGGGAGTGTAAGAAAATTGAAGGTTAGGTGAGAGGGAGAGAGACAAAGTTGAATGTTAGGAGAGAGGGAGAGAGACACATTTGAAGGTTAAGAGAACAAGAGAGAAAGAGGAGAGAGTGGAAGAAAGTTGAGGGGTAAGAAAGAGACAAAGAAGAGAAAGAGGAGAGAGAGAGAATGGAGAGAGAGAGAGAAAGGAGAGAGAGGAGAGAGAGAGAAAGAGGAGAGAGAGAGAAAGAGGAGAGAGAGAGAAAGAGGAGAGAGAGAAAGAGGAAAGAGGGAGAGAAAGAGGAGCGAGGGAGAGAAAGAGGAGAAGGAGAGAGAAAGAGGAGAAGGAGAGAGAAAGAGGAGAAGGAGAGAGAAAGAGGAGGGAGAGAAAGTGAAGAAAGAGGAAGAAAGCAGAGAAATAAAGAGAGAAAGTAGAGAAATAGAGAGAGAGGGACAGAGAGGAGAGAAAGGAGAGAGGAGAGAAAGGAGAGAGGAGAGAGGGAGAGAGGAGAGAGGGAGAAAGAGGAGGGAGGGAGAAAGAGGAGGGAGGGAGAGGAGAGAGAAAGAGGAGAGAGAAAGAGGAGAAAGGGAGAGAAAGTTGGAGGTTAAGAGAGAGAGAGAGAAAGAGAGAGAAATAAAATCTTCTGCAGAAAATCAATAACAGGATGCAGTTTTCCGCCAATACAGAAAGAGATTTCCTAAATCAATTAAGATCAATAAATATAAGTAAAGGAAAAATCCAAAGTTAAAACTCGGCACCAACATTAATGTGTATGTGTAGGTGTGCGTGTGCATACGTTTACACGCATGAGCGGAGGTGAGAGATAAAAGCTGAGTTGGGTGGGTGTAGGTAAAAACACCGGATTGCTGACAGGATTTAGATGGATAGAATTTGCTCAAAACGTGCAAAGCCACAACTCCCTCTTGGTGGATGAGGCTCAAACCAGATTACTATACAGTAAAGACTGGCAACAGGAACTCACTTTCCCTCTCTCTCACACACTCGTCTGTCTGTCTGTCTGTCTCTCTTATTTGATTTCCTCTTTTACTAACCCAAATTAAATAGATCCAGCATTATAACAAATAAAAAGGTTACTTTGTATTGGGTGGACATTGCTTCCAAGATAATCAGGAAATTTTCTTAATTTATCTGATCTTAATATTTAACATCTTTTTCTTTTAATCACTTGTCCCTTTCTCAAATGTTATGGCTCTCCACAGATGCCATTTCCTTGTTTTAATTATCTGTGAATTTTCATGATTTCTTACAAAAGATCATGTAGTGGTTTCTTCATTTCCTTCTTTACAGAATGGCTACCTTCCAAGGCTAGAGAGCCCAGTTTACTCTACTATTTAACTCTTAACTGAGGTTTAAAAATATAATTACACAAAATCCAAAATAAAAAGATGACCAGTTTAAAGTATTTAACATTATAACAGACAGAATACATATATCATCTACTGCAATTAATTATGTATTATAAGAAAATTAAAATCTAATCGCATTGTAAGCAATACAAAATTCCTAAAATCACTGTTTATACTATATTTGTGTGTGTGCGTGTGTGTGCACGCAAGGCCATACATATCTATATGTATATGTGTGTGAGCATAGATAGATATGTGGGTGTGTAAAAATTGAAATATAAATATATCTGTAAAGACAATAAAAGACATAAGAAAAGTCCACAAACAATTCCTTCAATAATGAATTAGATATACATAGAATTAATTTCAACTATAACTTTGATCTCAAGAATGCTATACTTATTAAAAGAGAAAATAAGTTAAATGAAAATTCTTGAGAGTCTAATTATTGATTCTTGCCAAAATGTTAAGATACACTGATTTTTTTCAAATATCTTCTTTCTTAAAGGAAATACTCCTTTCCGAAACCAACATATATGACCATGAGAGGCACGGTGGAGTAATAATAATATCGGCTTGGATTGAGGAATCAGAGAGCCAAGTTCAAATTCCAGTCGAATCCATTACATTCACTTACGTGCTAATACCCTTGGGAAAGGTATGAATCCTCTTCTTCTCCCTCCAGCTATGGGTAAATAGCAGGACAGACTGGGTTCTATAGCCTTGGATGGCAACTGGTCTAGGAGAAGGACAACTCTGTATTCAAAACCTGCAGAGGGTCGTTTGGGGACCTTGTGGCACGTAGTGCACCAGGTCTCTGTAATCGGCCATTCAAAAAGTTTTTGATGGTCGTGCACAAAACCATCACCACTATAATCAAATCTCATGTGCTATACATGCGGGTTGGGGACTGTTTGTGAATTCCAAATTCCCATGAAACTCCAATATTGGAGCCGGCTCAGCCCACCTCGGGTGAATGCCATTACAAGAACAAGAGAGAAGATATATTTCTGTGTATAAATACAAGTTACAAAATAAAATCTCCACATTTATCTGGTCACTTATGTGCTAATAGGAATATATACTTGAACAACACAATGGATAAATAAGTAAAGGTTTATTGTAGAAACCAGTGCAATAAGCGCGATCGTCACAAGTCAATCCAGTAGTGAGTGCTGCTATTGGAAGGTCAGTAGTTTTCATGTAAGTCTGCATCATACTCAACAGCTCCTAACTAGACTCTGTAGTCTGTTGCCTTACGGATACTTATAGGTAGTTACTACCTATAGTGTATTTACTCATGGGGGTGACAGGTTATTCCATTACATCAATGTCTAATCGATATCAGCGTAGACTTTGCACCTTACAACCACTCTTCCACATATGAAATATTACAAACCTCCCACTGCTCTCTTGCTACATATTACATTCCTTAGTTCACCCAGTTCTAACCTTCACAACTAAGATCCGCATATTGTAGCAAATCACCCATATTACTTTCCGATTCCTTTGGTTCCACTTAAGCAGCTTCTTCTTACAAACTATTGTTTGTGGAATCAATTCCCTAGAGGATGCTTCCTCAATCACTACAATTTTAACCTGCTCAAGTCTATGGTTGACTGTTACCTTCTCCACATATTCCCATAAACTGTGTCTCTCACTTTGTAACCCTCTACCTCGATTGGCTCTTGGACCTATACAGTGTGAGCATCATTGTATTAAAAAAAAAAAAAAAAAAAAAAAAAAAATGCAATTAACAGGTTATTTTAAGTTCCGTCTCTGGGTCAGGCAGGCAAATTTATATACTTTGGTTCAGCGGTAAAAAGAAAACAAACAAATTGTATCATAAGGACAAATTAAGTAATTGAGACAAGATGTCTCCAAGTATGACAGTGGAATGAGAACAGCTTACCCTAGTGGATTGACTAAAAGGGTCAGTTAGAAATTCCTCAAAAAGGTTATCAAACACAAGTGTGATAATGACTACCAATATAATGATGGCAATGTATAATAATGATAATTATAATTCTTTATCTCAGGAATTTAGTAGGACTTTTATTCATTTTATTTATTATTTTTACTACTAGGAATGCTGAAAAGTTCATCAATATATATTAGCCATACCACAACATTTCCTTTGAAAAGAATGACCTTTCACCTTTCCGAGCAAAGTGTGATATATAAAGAAGTACACAGCACCCACTTCTAATTACCATTATATTATGGTTGACTATACAATAGTATTAAAAAAAAAAATGATTAAACATTTTTTAGGCTCTTCATATTAAATGATAACTCAGCATCAATCAAATTTGTTATCATTTTAGAACAATAATTGAATATGTTTAAATGGCTACGTTCCTTTAAGTCATTTGACCTTATAATTTATTGTGACACTATAGCATGTGAACCTGCATTCATTTTAAACTCCAGACTTTACAGTATAAATGCTCCACCAGTATACACTTAACTTCCATTATCTTTCCTTGAAAATGATCAATGATAAATAAAAAGACTCAAAATATAACACCCAATTTATCAAGGTCCTTTACAAGCTTCCACCTGATATCAAACTTGTTCAATACCAGGAGAAATTCATTAAAAGGCTTTAACAGACATTCCATTTCCATTCAACTTAAAACATATTTAAACAAAAGATTGCATCTACATATACTAGTTTTATATATATATATATATATATATATATATACACACATACATACAAAGTTTAGATTATATATATATATATATATATATATATATATATATATATATATATACTAGCAGCATATTTAGTTGTTGCGTGCTTGATTCAAAAATCGTATGACTCATACATCAATCACTATCACTTGACTTAAAATATTTTTGCCCTTCCTTGCCTTTAAAGGAGTGCCCTTTGCCGTGCTGATGTTGCTACATGCCTTACTTCTTGCCTATCTCACACTGCAAATTTTTTCTAAGCTCTATACTAAACATTAAATCTGTTACGAAAAAAGAACTAAACAAAATGAACACAAAATGATCAGCTTTAAAAAGGACTCAGAATTTGAAAAACTGAATGAAAAAAGAATATTAACAACAAATACTTTTTCACACCCAACCCAGTTCTGTGGAATCAGAATTAACATTGAGTTTAAGTGTTTAATGAGCCAATTGGAGTAAAGTGCCATGAAGATTTAAATTTTTCCCACTTGTGACGAATGTAGATATTGATTTTTTTTGCATGCTAGTTAACATTCATGTCAGTCAGCTGTTGGCTCTCATGCTAGCCAATAGAATCTTCCTGCCTAATCATGGCAGCCAGCTACAGGCTCTCACTCTGGTCAGTAGAAAATGGCTGCAAACTACATGAAAACTGCTGTAGAAGCATGAAAAAATCGATTATTTCCACTATAAATGGGAATTGGGAAATGCAAAGTCAGTCTTGGCCTTCCTGCTAACTTGGAGCATGTGCATGTAAATTTTGGTGCAAATCAGTCAATTTTTTATTTTTATACGTTCTTTTTTTTTTTCTCAGAAATTCAGGCCGGTAAATGTTGTTAATACTGTTTATTATAAACAGAGCATTTACTTAAATATTTGTATATATAAAAAGAACATATAAACATAAAAATGTCTTAAAAAATAATTGTCGGATTTGGTCCATTTCATAATATATATATATATATAATATAATATAAACTAGTGTGTGTGTGTGTGTCTGTGTATATATATATATATATATATATATATATATATATGTATGTAGAGAGAGAGAGAGAGAGATAGAGAGAGAGGAGGGAACAAGCGAGTGAGCGAGCGGCTCTCTCATCATTTTTTGATGTATAAAGGTCCAGCAGTTCTTAGAAACAAACATATGATTTGATTATAGTGGTGAAGGCTTGTGCAAAACTGACCACACTTTTTGGAAGAGCTAAATATAGGGAATGGGTGCACAGTGTGTCACAATGTCTCCCAAATGACAATTCAGAGTTGTCCTTTACCTGGCTGGTTGTCACCCAAGGCTATAGGATACAGTCTACTATTTAACCCATTGCTGGTGGGAGAAGAGGTGGATTTTATTTATATATATATATATATATATATATATATATGTAAATGCCAATATAAATATTGAGTTGGGAAACTTTATAAAACAAAACAATGATCTTACATCCCTTAACTAGGCTAAAACAATATAGACTAACTCATAAATAAAAGAGTATTCAAAGGTCAAACATCCAATAATGGCCATGATCCTTACAACAAATCTACACACATGCAAAAAACTTTCATAAAAAAAAAGAAAAAAAAGCTCATGATTTCATTTTTATTTTTGAGAAATGACACAGGCATTTACAAAAATTCTGATTTTAAGACTTTTCTCATACTTGTATTTTGTCTATTGAACAAATAACATTATTATTATTATTATTATTATTACCATTACATTTGATTTCTGTTATATAAACATTTCCTTTTGGGTCACAACTAGAGACCTGAGGTCAGAAATGGCATCATGACATTTTCCACTGATCATTTTTGTAAAAAAGTTAAAAATAAAACACCCTAAGATAATACACATTTTACATTGATAAAGCCCTTCATAATGTGTGTGCTGTACTTGGAGAATAATTTTTTGTATTTCTTTAAGACATGGTCTACCAGGAATCTTTCCATTTCCAATCAATCCAAGGACCTCAACCACAAGAGGAATTATTGATGTCTTCATGCAACACATTTTGAGATTTTCACTTCAAGATCCTTGTGTTTTGATAGTTTTTTTTGAAGATCTTCATCTGCAGGGACTGCCATGTCAATAAGAAAGCATATTCTGTTCCTGGGCGATTGGCTTTGATTATTCTGTCTGTGTGTATTGGAAAGTCCCATGAAATTGTTACAGATCCTCTGTCTGTAACTGGGTCTAGTTGGTATTCATACCAATTTAAATTTCTTTCCTCAGCCTACTATACCAGCATATAGATATAGTAAATAAAAAAATAAATAACATGTATTAATATTTGATACATGCCTTTTCATTTAACCATTACATATGATGCCACTTTGAATAGATTCCAGTTCCAGTAATCAAAAAATGGCAGCATTTTGTTAAAATCTTATTTACCATACTGACAACACCCAGTTCTTAATAATGACTGAGATCGTTGATAATATTTATATATATATATATATATATATATATATATATATATATATATATATATATATATATAGGTAACTATACTCGCCGAAAAAAACCTTTGAATTTTTGATTTGCCAATAATCAAATTAATCTCGAAGGAAAAAAAAGGTTTTAAAAAAGAAAGAGCCAGGAACATGAAAGTCTGTAAAAAAAAAATCTCACAGATACAGGTTCAAAGCCCAAAGAAAAAAACCAGACATGAATAAACAACTAACTAAAAAGAGCTCAATACAACCGTAGAGCAGACCTAGTCAAACCTAGTGAGTCAGACAAACCTACCCAGGTTTCACCTAAGTGGATCTTCAGGGAAAGCTTTCCCTGATGATGTGCTTAGGTGAAACCTGGGTAGGTTTGTCTGGCTCACTAGGTTTGACTATCTATCTATCTATCTATCTATATATATATATATAAATATATATATGGGAGTTTAATTTCCATGAAAACAGAAAAATGGAATGGCCTACTTGACCAAAAATCACAATTTTGAAATGGAAATTATTTTTTCTAACAATTAGAAATTCTAACTACTGCCGTTTTTATTTGTTATTATGTTTGCCTTTCCTAACTCACTTGTTCAACAGACATTAAAGGATAAAGTCGGTAATGTTTTAATACACCCCCCCCCATCTACTGTCTCCCTACAGTTTACAGTATTTAGGAACCAAGTTTTATGAAGTTGGTTTGATTTAATTTAAAAAAAAAAAAAAAAAAAAAAAAGGTGGAAGATGGGGACAAAAACAAAAATTTTTTTTTTGTTTTCTTTTTTCTATCACACATGGTGATGGAGGTAGGGGTGCAGTTTGTCATCTCAGAAAGCCAAATTTATGAATTAGAAAAAATAAATATTTAATAATTTTAATAATTTAATTTTCTTGTTTTAATAACATTTATATAGTTACACACGTATTATGTTGAAGTAAAAACAGAATTCCCTAAAACCTGAAGTGGAATTAAGGAAAATTTTAAACGGAAAATCAATATATATATATATATATATATGTACAGTATAAAAAATTAAATATACAATTTATCACTTGATTTATTTTCATCTATTGGCCTGAATATTTGAGAAAGATTATTAACAAAAAAATTATATATATATATATATATATATATATATATATATATATATATATATATATATATATTTTAAAACGTTTTGCTAGTGATTTTATGATATATATATATATATATATATATATATATATATATATCATAAAATCACTAGCAAAACGTTTTTAAAAGAGATTCTTATAATTTAAAAAACATCTCACACACAAAGAAAATATCCTTTAACCTAAGTATTTTGAAGTAACAGGTTTCTTGATAGATTTTATGGATTATTTGCTTTGTTAGCCTTTCTGTTCCTAGTATGAAGGGACCTAATACCATATCCGGTTTGTCAGCTTATTTTCCAAGTGTTTTCTCAAACAATTACTGGAAATAGGACAAGAGGAAGCCTAACCAAGCCCAGGTAACCATTTCACAGGTGGGCTATAAATGGAGACTCAAAACAGATGGTTAATAAAATTTACACCTGGACAAGGATTCTTTTTTGCTTTCAATTTTTTATGTTTAGCAGAGAAAATGGAGAATAGACATTTATTTCAGATTTAAGGTTCAATAAAATTATTTGACAGCTGGAAGATCTCATTTATTCTCTCAAGAGTAAAACTCACTAAGTCATCATGTGAAAATATGCATGTGAATGCAACTGAATGGGTGAGTGCACATATAAGAGTGAGATATATTTAAGAGTAAAATTATGAAAGAGAGAACAATAACCACAGAGAGAGAGAGAGAGAGAGAGAAAACGATAGCCTGAGAGAGAGAGAGAGAGAGAGAGAGAGAGAGAAAACGATAGCCTGAGAGAGAGAGATAGAGAGAGAGAGAGAAAACGATAGCCTGAGAGAGAGAGAGAGAGAGAGAGAGAGAACGATAGGGACACAGAGAGAGAGAGAGAATGATAGGGACACAGAGAGAGAGAACGATAGAGATAGAGAGAGAGAGAGAGAGAAGAAAACGATAGGGAGAGAGAGAGAGAAGAAAACGATAGGGAGAGAGAGAGAGAAGAAAATGATAGGGACAGAGAGAGAGAAGAAAACGATAGGGACAGAGAGAGAGAGAGAGCGAGAGAAGAAAATGATAGGGACACAGGGAAGAAAATGATAGGGACACAGGGAAGAAAATGATAGGGACACAGGGAAGAAAATGATAGGGACACAGAGAGAGAGAAGAAAATGATAGAGAGAGAGAGAGAGAGAGAGAGAGAGAGAGCTAAATAAGAGAGTGAGAAAACAGGAAATAGAAAGATTGACAATCAGAAAGATAGTAGGAAATTTAATAATGAACATATGTATGTTGAATAAAAAAAATATAAGAGAGAAAAAGCTTAAAACAAAAATAGAAAAAGAACAAACAAAAAAAAAAAGACATGCTTCATTAATCCAAAGGAAATATAATGAAAGAAAGAAAATTCAATGATGTAACAATATTTTATTTTTAGTTATTACTATTGTTTTATGAAACCTTATTTTATTTTTATAGAAATACTGTACAGTTTGGAATTTTTACAATAATCGTTATCATTCTTTGCTCAACAAATTGTACATCTGAAGAAGGCTGTAGAATGGATCTGTCAAAATATGCTAAGAACAAAAGAAACACAAGTTCAATAGTTCAGAAAATTCATGGATGATATATGAATTTATACCCACCGCCCCCCCAAAAATATAGAGACCGACAGATTAATATTATGTAAATCCTAACCTAAGTTGCCTCTCTGCAACATTACTACAATTAAGATTATATCTGATCTCTTGAGATATCTTATTTAAGAATATATATGTTTCCAGATCATTTGACAGAAAGAGCAACACTAAAATCCGAAAACTTATTGAAATAACCAAGAAAGCATTCCAAAAGCAAAGCAGAGTACTAAGAAATAAGAAAATTTTGCTTGAAACAAGAAAAAGAGTACTAAACTGCTATGTAATATCTGTCATCCTGTATGGCAATGAGTACTGTATGATCTCAGTCTGAATTTCAAATTTAGCATAATTTTTTTTTCTTCTTTTTTCTTTCTTTCTTTCTTTTTTTTTTTTTAGTTTTTATTTATTGATTTTAATTTGGGCTCAAGGTCACACGTATGGAGTACCAACTGCAAATTGAACTTGCTATTCAGTGATATTGATATGGGAATTTTATTCATTTAAGATAATTTAGTTTGGGTACAAGGCTACAATTATGGAGTAGCCATTGAGAATTGAACCCATTATTCACTCCTCAAAGATGGAGAGACTTGAATCAATAATGTGGTTCTACAGAAGGATGGTGAGGATACCGTGGACTGAAAATGTGAGTAATGACAAAGTTTTGGAGAAAATGAAAATGAAAAGGAAACTTTTACTTGACATCAGGAAGAGACAGTTGAGGTTTCTGGGGCATATAATGAGGAAGGAGGGCTTGGAAAATCTGATACTCACAGGACAGTTGAGGGCAAGAGGAACGGAGAAAAACAATGCATAACATACTAAATGAGCTTGATTGAATGGTTGGCGGAACAAGGCTTTGGAGAAATAACAGAAAGACAAAGTTTATTAAGAGCTACAAGGGACAGGAAGTTGTGGAGAGCCATGATCGCCTATGTTCTGAGGGGACATGGCACATAAAGAAGAATTAGTGAAATTATTATTACTTCTCTACAGGAATTGAACATCCTTAATGCTACAGTATAAAGTGCCCTATTGTGAGTTGTTAAATGTGCAATTTCCTTCTGCTTCCGTTTTTATTAGAAAACAGAAAGAGAAAGAGATGTTCTTCCAAGAGAAAGAAAAAATCTACAAGTATAATGAAAAATTAGTGAAAGCTAGTTGAAATCAAAGAGCTAAACATTAAACAAAAAAGTAACTGTTTTTTTTTAATACATTGACTGCCAACCACAAGTTATCTCGTTGGCAGCCAAAAAAAAAAAAAAATAAAAAATAAACTTACTAGATAACTAATGAGTGGCAGTTTTTATCCTGATGAAGGACTAGGAACTCATGCCAACAATGACTTTATTCAGTGACACTTTTAGAATGAAAACAATGTTAAAATTTCAGTTGAATCAACTCATAAAAAATTTTTTATTACCAAACTTGGCTATTATAAAATTGGTGTTTGAAGTCAGATTTTTTAATTGACCATTGGTAGTCAACGTATTAATATATACTAAATTTTTTTGTAATACACTGATGCATGTTGAAATTTCTCTGCCCATTTGAAACTCTCCCTGCTGTGTTTATAGTTACAGTGCTACTACTGTGCATTACATTTTACCAGAATTAAATAAATATTATATATGAAGAAAAATATATACGGAAAAAACAAACAAAAATCCTTATATACAATTATGCTGTTTTAATGTTAATATGTCAACGTCGGACGTTACGTTTCGGTCTAATAAGCCATCTTCAGGACATATTCATAAAATATAATTAACATTATCAATTCAACATAAAGGCGATGTACATAAGAACAAGACTTATCAAACAGTTTTATAACTGATCTTATAAAACTTTCAGTTATCTCTTTTGATAAGTCTTGTTCTTATGTACATCGTCTTTGTCATGTTGCATTGATAATGTTATAATTTATGAATATGTCCTGAAGATGGTTTATTAGACCTAAAACGTCAGACGTTGACATATTAACATTAAAACAGCATAATTGTATATAGGATTTTTTGTTTGTTTTTCCGTATATATTTTTCTTCATACTGTCAGATTTATATCCATATATATATATATATATATATATATATATATATATATATATATATATATATATATAAAATCCTAAAAGAAAAGATATACAAAAAATAATATTGCATTTTTATTAAATAAGTATTTGTTATTTTAATCATTAAATTGTTTTAAAATAGTGGGAGTATTTTGTATGTTAAACTTTTATTTTTTTCCAAAGAAATTAATGAAAATTTATTGTACTATGCTACATACCCTAGTAAAACCAACTGTACTTTGTACCTATTACCTGTTTGCACTTCTACCCAAAATTTGGTTTTGATCAGTCAATGTATAGCTATTTTAGAGGGTGTGACAGATGGACAGAAAACAGAAATCACAGAATTTTATATATAGAATAAATCAAAAATAGACAAAATAGATTTTTGAGACTCTTAGACTTTACATAATTTGCACTCCTCATCCTAGAAATTCAAACAGAAATTAACTTTTTGTAACATTTCTTTTTTATCATTTCACCTCAAGCAAGGCAATAAAGCCACTAAGATGCAAGAGATTACCAAGTGTTAAAGAATATGATGGAAAAAAAAGACTATTAAAGGGAGAGAACAATAAAAAAAAAAAAAAAACAGTAATTAAGATAGAAGATAACAGTTACATTTAAATTTTTGGAGATCAAAGTTGACTGGGAAACAAGAATCCAGAAGAGAGTTCCACAAGTGAGAAGTGTGAGAGAAGAAACTATCAGCATAGAACTTACAGTTACATCTAACCATTTCATCTGTAAAATAAGACCTTGCTGCTCATCTAATACTGTGCTTAGATTCATAAAATGTAAGTACCAAAGAGGAAAATAATATTTATTTTGTAAATTACAAAAATGTGGCACAAGGCCAAAAGAGATGATGGGAGAAAGCTAGTCTTATTCTATCTTATAATTTAACTTAGCTAGCTATGATTTACAATTACAGACCCAAACATACCCCAGTATTCCTTATGCCAAAACACATTCTTACTAAAGCCACTATAATACCTCAGCATCTTTATGAAGTTCTAACTAGTTCCCATATGCACAATTTTTTGTCTGTGGGTGGAGGGGAATAAAAAAAAAACAACTATTTAAAATACCATAGAGGAAAGTAATATTTATTTTGTTTTAATACAAAAATATGGTACAAGGCCAAAAGGAGGGATAGGAGAAGGCTGCTTTCAATCTGTCTTATCTTAAACTTAGCTATGCTATGATTACTGATCCAAACATACCACAGTATTCCTTACACCAAAACAACACATTCTTACTACAGCCA